CTCCTACTACTACTACTACTATTACGACTACTACTACTACTACTACTACTACTACTACTATTGCTACATTACTGGTACGAGTACAACTACTACAAGAACAACAACAACAACTACTACTACTACTACTACTAACTACTAGTACTACTATGACTACTATTACTACTACTACTACTACTACCACTACTAGCACTACTACTACTACTACTACTACTACTAGTACTACTACTACTACTACTACTACTACTAGTACGACTGCTACTACTACTATTGCTACATTACTGGTACGAGTACAACTACTACAAGAACAACAACAACAAGTACTACTACGACTACTACTACTACTACAGGTACTACTATTATTTGGACTTTTTCCGCTACTAGTACTAGTACTACTTTTACTACTACGACGACGAGTACTACTACTACTACTAGTACTATCACTAGTACGAGTACGGCTACATGGACGACAAGGGCCAGCACTAATGCTACGACTAGGATAAAGTCTAATAACACAGTCAGGACGAGAACAAGGAAGAGGACCGCACGAACGGCAGCAGCAGTTCCAAACGTGAAAAGGGTCAGAACAACTGGAGCAACAGCATCAGCAACAGCAGCTGGGAAAAGCAGAACGTCAGATTCGAGGTCTGTGTCGACGACTAATTAAAAAATGTACAAGCCTTGTGCCTGAACTCCCAGGTATGATGGCGCTGTACGATCCACGACATAGAGTTGCGAGAGAGTTGCAAAACTCTTGCAATCAAATTCCAAGATTGCGTGGAGCACTGCAGGCGGCGGAGTTCATCTTGACGTTCCAACGTGGGCCATGGACGGGGCAGAAGTGGCACCGTGTGCTACAGGAAGAAGCCCAAGAGTGGGCGGCGACATGCGCTGGCAACCCCCTGGTTAAGCACTTCTTGCCCAGAATATCGCAAGAAACTGGCATCCCGATCGCGGACTTGAGCGATGAGCGTATCAGGTCTCTCCTGCAGTCCGCCAACTTCCTGAAACGGCGTGGCCCGGCCACGATTTCGCGATGGGACGCCTTTCACCAAGGCTGGCAGGAGCGCCGAGGTGAACTGGCCCTCATGCTGTTACTGCTGATTGGGTACGGCTTAAAAGCTGGCTTCTTACACGGGACCCATCATCTTCGTTTGGGCACTGTTGCGATGTCGGCAGAGGCACCTGCCAGCTCTGGTGCCAACGAGACCTTGAAGGCCGCCACGAAGTCGGCGATGTTCCGCCAATGCAAGAACAAGGTCCATGTGGTAACGGCCTGCCTTCTCAATGAGGACATCCTCACATGCATCAACTCCTATTACGCCACATCGCTGCCTCTCAGCAACTCGGGCTGATTGAGAGTATTCTCGGTTATCTCTCATGTCGTCTGACGACGGTCATACCCCAAGGAGATTCGGATCCTCGTCGTAATTGCACTTAACCAAGCTTCCCTGTTGGGACCTCTTGGAAGTTCAAGATTTATCATCCATTGGAGGACGGGAAACCGCATAATATAGATATCCTGCTCCACCGTGTTTTTGTGTCATTGGAGTCATGGTCTCGTGCTTTCTGCCCTGGGGGTGGTATATCGCGTCAGCGCTGATGTTGCCCGAACACAATATCAAACCGGCCTCCTAACCCTTCAAGAGATTGAATGACCATGTAGTTCTTGCCCTTCAACAACAGACTCGTGTCTTCCCTCAACGATTCCAGCACCTTTTTTCCGCTTTTCCGCCTGTAAGATTTGCGAAC